TGCGCGTCCAAGTCCTCGGGTCGCGCGTGGGGCCAGCTGTGTTCCTCTCACTGTTACTCAGTCCCTGTCCACCCACACCACCCCCGCCAACGCCTTCCCCGCCCGCTGAGCAACCTCCGGCTTCTCCCGGCCGCCAGGACCTCTGCCTCATCGCGCGGTGATACCGGCGCCCGCCACTCAACCCTTGAGACTCACCGTATCCGCGTGGGGTCGCCACTCTGGAGGGAGGCCCTGCGCCGCCGGAAAAGTTCACTCGACAGCCCAAGGAGAGAATGCAGAGAGGCTGGGGTTTGGCCTGGGAGCAACAGGAACCTAGCATCTTCAGAATGACATGCCTTGTATCCATGGCTCTCAAACTTTCATGTTTTAGTCTACTGCAGTACTTAGCTTTAAATGTACCTTTCTGGACTCCACTCTTGAGCAGAAATACCGTTTTCTCAGAGAAGTCCAACAGTTTGACAGCCAGTACAGAGAACAAGACAGCATAAAGAGTGGATTCTGATGACCCTGAAAAGTGGCAACATCTTACAGGGCTGTGTTAAAGGTTTTATATTAACCAAAAGACGAAGGGGACTCCCTGGATGGAGACTTAAGCAGAATAGTGAAAACATACTTGTACTTGAATAAGATTTGAGAAAAGGAGAAGAAAGCCTATCTCCCAAAGTACTTCTCATACCTGTTTGTCACAGAGCCTTAAATAACACTATTAAAGATTTACTTATTTTTGTTCTGCATGATCCTCTTTAGACATTTTCTTTTGAAATGCAGATACTCCTGGACTGGTTAATCCATAAGTAATAAGCAATTTGAAGTGGATTTTTTTTATTATTATTAAGTAGATTCCTGCTAACTAGAGAGACTAAAGGTAGGAAATTCTGGGGAGGTACAAGTAGCAGGGGAAGAGGAGAGGAGTAGATTTGCCAAGGGCTGATCCTACAAGAAAAGCCAGGGTCCACCGGGACCAGTCAAAACCCTATATTGCTTCAATGCACCAAAAGGAGAGTTACCTGGAAAAGATAGGGAAGAAATTGAACTTTTTCATCTGCTATTTAAATTACACCAGATAGAAATACCACAACATATATAAAATGGACAAATTCCTTGAAAGATGCAAACTCCCAACACCTACTAAAGAAAAAATAAATAACCAGAATAGCTCTATAGCTATCAAAGAAATTAAAAATGCAGTTAAAAACCTTCCTATAAAGAAAACACCAGGCCCAAACATTTAAAAAAGAAAGAATACTGATTCTTCGCAAAAACTTCAAGAAAATTGAAGAATAGGGAGTACCTGCCAACTCACTCTTCTACGGGGCAATTTTACGGTGATACCAAAATCAGGCAAAGACTTAAAAAAAACTATAGACCAATATACCTCATGAATATAGATGCAAAATTTTTTTAAATTTTAGCAAATTGAATGGATCTTTACATAATAAGGACAATACCTCATGACCAAGTGAGATTTATCCCAAGAAAGCAAAAGTGGTTTAACATCTGAAAAGCAATCAATATAATTCACCATATCAAAAAACTAAAAACAAAACAAAACAAAACAAAACATAGTGATCATCTCAATTGATGCAGAAAGAGTATTTGACAAAAACCAAACATCCTTTCATAATAAAAACAATCAACAAACTAGGAATAGAAGGTACTATGATCTGTTTCTACCCACAGAAAACTTCTGACAGCAAATGTGATTTAGTTTTTGCTCACACCAACAACCAATACTCAAACTCTCCAAACAGCAGATGGATGACCCACAACTTAATTCTGGCACCAACTACCTGGAGTTAGCATCAGATCCCACAAGTTAAGGGCTCAGTCCCATAATCTGCCCCCTACTTCGGATGACAGACAGTCACAAGTACTGAGCCTCCCATACTTCTGATTAACTAGCTTATGAGTCAGGGGTTCCCACAATACCCTCTTCAGGTTCAATAATTTGCTTGAACCACTCACAGAACTAAGAAAAGCACGTAATTTACATTTACTGGTTTATTATAAAAGATATTATATAGGATACAGATGAACAGCCAGATGAAGAGGTACATAAGGCAAGATACAGGGGAAGGGACATAAACTTTCCTTGCCCTCTCCAGGCACACCACCTCCCCAGCAAAATGATGCGTTCAACCCAGAAGCTCTCCCAGCACTATAGTTTAGGAGTTATGAAGGTTTCATTAAATAGGCATGATTAATTAAATCATTGTCCATTGGTGATTCATTCAATCTCCAGCTCCTCTCCACTCCCCCTACATCAGGGAGTAGGGTTGAAAGCTTCAATCCTCTAATCATGCCTTGGCCTTTCTTGAAAATAGCCCCATTCAGAAGCTATCTAGGGGTCCCCAGCTACCAGTCATCTCATTACCATACAAAAAAAAACACTCTTATCACTCCGAAGATTCCAAGAGTCTTAGAAGATCTTGTGTCAGGAACCTGAGACTGAGACCAAATATAACAAAAGATTCTTCTATCACCCCTATCAGTCAGGAAATTGTATACATGCCTATGATAATGTTTAATTTCTAAATTAGGCACAAAGAAGGAATTAACAACAACTAATAATAAAATAAAATAAAATTATGACGATATACTGTAATAAAATTGTGGCTGGCTTTGGGGCCATTATTAAGTAAAATAAGGATTACTTGAACACAAGTAATGTAATATTGTGACAGTTGATCTGACAACCAAGAAGGCTACCAAGTGACTAATAGGCAGATAGCATATACAGCATGGATACGCTGGAAAAAGGGTTGATTCATCTCCCAGTGGGATAGCACGAGATTTCTTCATGCTACTCAGAACCATGGAAAATTTAAAATTTATGAATTGTTTATTTCTAGAATTTTCCATTTAATATTTTCAGACCGTGGTTGACCACAGGTAAATGAAAACTGGAAAAAACTGCAGATAAGGGGAGATTCTTGTAAATTAATGACTTCCAGATTTATATGTCCAAGCTGACCTCATCCCAGCACTCCAGACTTTCCCTCCCCATGCCTTCATCACCTGTCTAAAAGCCACCTCAAATGTACCATGGCCATCTTCAATCCTGCTTCTCTCCAATACTTCCCATCTCAGTACATGGAACCACTTCTACCCAGCTGCTGAGGTCAAAACCCTTAGTATCTTCTTTTACTCCACTCTTATTCTCACACTCCACATCATTTTCCATCAGAAAATTCTGATTTTCTGCCTTTATAATAGAGCCTGATTCTGAACACTTCTCTCCACTCCCACTGCTAAACTTCTTCTCCAAACTATCATCCCTTGCCCAGATTACACAACATCCTCCTAACTGATCTTGCTTCCTTCCTTGCCCCACACAGCAGGCAAGTGCTCTTTAAAAGTATAATTCAGAACAAGGCACTCCCTTGCTCAGCAGCTTTCTATTGTCTTAAAATTCAGAGTCCTTACATGGCCCTAGCTGCTTCTCTGGCTCATCTCCAATCTCTTCCTCACCAGCCACTCCACTCCAGCCACACTGGCCTCCTCGCTCATCCTCCAACACCGCAAATGCACCCCAGGCCCCACACTTTACATGTGCTATTCCCTCTACCTGAAACTTCTTTCTTTCTACTTCGACTTTCCATTTATTTTTCAACTTAAGAATATGTTCTCCAACTGTATTTTAGTTCTCCAACTGTATATATATATATGCCTCCCCAAACACCCCTACCAGCCGGTCTGAAACTTTTCCCGTAACTTTTATTTTACTGCTTTATTGAGATATAATTGACATATAACATTGTGTAAGTTTAAAGCGTGCAACGTCATGATTTGATATATGTATATATTGAAAAATTATTACCACAGCAAGGTTAGTTAGCACTAGTGCTCAGAGAGGTGAGGGCACAGGCACGGGAGGTCTTCGTGCTTGGTTTCAAGCAGGCCTTTCTTTTCATGGAGGGCTGGATCGGAGTTGAAAAAGGATCCTGATTAGAAAACGTAGAAAGGTGAGGATTTTGAAGCAAAGTGTTCAAAGAGTCCTGGGGAGTAAACATGCTTTCTATTGAAAACTTGAAGTTTGATTTTCATTTACTCCATTTCCCATTTGTCCCAAGAATACTCTCCCGCGATGCTTGCGGCTGCAGCATTTACCCCAAGATAACTCGTGGATTACAGTCCTAACCTTACCCTCAGAGTTTGCCATGAAATATCTCCCTTTCATTATTCTTTTCGCATAGCTCTAGTATATTGATAGTCTTTAGATGTCATTCTTTTTATAGCATTCTGTTTTTAGTAATGGTATTTCCATTTACAAAATATAGTAATTCTCAAATCCTAGAAAAGGTAGCATTCCTACACGTGGTGTTAAATGAACGCTGGCAGTGAGCTACACTTTTTTTTTTTTAATGGGAAATGGGTTAGATGCATCTGGGAAGTTCCTAAAAGAACAATGAGGCATTATAACTTTTCCCTTCCTTGACAAGAGCCTCCTGGAATAGTAAAATTATGTCAACATGGACAGTCAACCATGTAAAAGTAGATGGTTGCTGTTCTCGTCACCCACTCACAGGCTCCTCCAGCCACCCCTCTCTCATGAGCTCAAGACCTTGATCAAGTCACATCTCTCTGATGTCACTTCCCATCAAAATAGTTGAAACTAATAGTCCTGCCATTGGTGAATGAATCACCAATGGACAGGGCAGTGGTGAGGATCAAATGAGCTAAGCCACGTAAAGTGCTCTAGTCATTGTTTCAATTGCAAATAACGGCAAACAAGCTAAGAAAGAGATTTTTTTTACATTTTTAAAAATTCGTTTATTTATTTTAATTAGTTTCAAGTATACAGTACATTGGTTGGACATTTATATAGTTCATAAAACGATCCCCCCAACTAC